ACAGACTTTTTGCTTAGTAAGAATCCTATCCCACACACATTCTATTCAGTATTCATTTCTCACTTTGGTGATATTTTTCATGTCATTGCTGTCTTCATAACTTTCCCCTTTAGTGCCTGTGTAATATTCCATTGAGTCACTTAACCAGTTTCCATCTGCTAGAAATTTAGCTTATTTGTCAAGCACTTAGGAGAGCCAGGCACATGGCAAATACTCAATGAATGCTGGTTATTGTCATTATTTCCAATTTGTGCTGACACATATTTGCTGAGAAGTATTTCTGCACATCTTTTTCTGTAGTATTTAGCTCTTTAACCTCTTTAACTTCTCAGATGTATATTACTGACTCAGATGTAGATTACTGGGCTTTACTGTTTTTGTGCCTTGTGATACTGATGGCAGCACATGCTGACATCTTCCCACTGACAAGGCCATATCCCTTCTGGCTGTTCGCTAATGGACCCAACTTCCACTGCAAGAACCTACAGCTCTTTCCTAAAGGCTTTCTCTGGAACAAGAGTCCACTAGTGGAGCCAGCGGTCCAATAGTGCTCAAACTCGATGCCACCGGGGACAGTTCCAAAACAATGCCCACCTAGATTTGAGCACAGGTGGGATAGCTCTGAGGGGCCCACACCGGCTCCCAGAGGCCCCATATACCTGCAGGAGCAGCTGTCTGAGCCACAGGCGCGTCACGTAACTGCCTCACTTCCTTGCTTTGCTTCCCCTTGCTTTGCTACAGTTCTCCCTGGCTCATCTCCCACATGAAATTAACTGTGTTCAAATTCTCCCCTCGGAACCTGCTTCCAGAAGAACTCGGGCTGAGACTGTGACACTTACAGGCAAATGGTTAACACCCATGCTAACACCTGTCCATTTACCTCTTCAAAGAACCAACTTCCACTTTTCAAGGTCTCGTGGTTCGCTAGACCAGGATTTTACAGGGTTGTCCTGAATCCCCATCCCAGTCGTATCAGATAGATATCATGGCCTTCATTTCAAAGACCTGGCAGCTGAAGCACAGAGGGTTTAAGCAACTTTGTCCATGGCCACACAGCCCTGCAGGGGCAGAGCTGGGATTCAAACTGTAATTCCACTTTCCCCCGAGGCCTGAGCTCTTAACCTACAAGGTGTCCTGCCAGGCACTGCCCCATAATGGTGTTAGGATCCTCCCCCGAACCCTAGGCAACCACTAACCTACTTTCAGTTTACATGGATTTGCCTATTCTGGGCAGTTCTTTCCATTTCATAGAGTCATAGAACATGTAGCATTTTGTGTCAAGGACTGCCCAAGTCTGAATCTCAGCCTCAGAGCTAAAAAGCTGTGTGACCTTTACCAAGTTCCCCTGGAATTTCTCCATCTGTAGAATGGAATTAAAATCATACTAGATATACCACAGAGTCATTGGAGGATTGAATGTGCTAACCAATACATCTAAAATACTCACACAGGGCTCAGCTCACATTAGGCACTACTGAGATGTCAACCTCCATTACAGCCATGACTACAAATATTACTAGTCTGCTGTTCCTCTGCCCCAAAGCGCGTGACTGGTGGTGGGAATCCAAAGATGAACAGAGCACAAAAAACAGAGCTCTTGCCCTCCCCCAGCACACAGCCTGGTGGGGACTATATGATTGGGAAACCAGTTTAAATGAACGCAGAGTCTTATCACATGCATATTTAACTAACATAAATCCAGGTCTTTCACCAAAAAGAGAAGGAAAAAGAACAATTTAAATACTGCAATTAAATTCTGTAAAATATATATCATGCATATATCCTTCATTACACAATGTACATCCCTGCATGCATTTATACATTGTTACATATTGATTACAGTAAGGGTTGCATACACAAAACCGAACACATTGCAATTTAATGGGCAACTGAAGAGATCTCAAGGTTAATGAAGACTCTGTGTTTGCCTTAAACCTTGACTGTGTAATCTAACCCTTGGGTAAAATGTGACTCTATGTATGTCGACAACAATAATTCACAGTGATTCCAGATAAACGAAATTAGCCAACAAGTACCAGGCGGAGTCGGGTGTTAGGCTGCAGTAGGTTCTAGCTGGTCAATGCCAATTTGCAAAGCACCACTTCTGCCTTCCACAAATTCACAGAATCATTTTGAAAATAAACCACATAAACATACTCGTAAGGGATTGGTGACTGGCAGAACTGGGTTTAGGAACCAGGTGGAAATGATCTCTCACCTACCAGCAGATGGGACAGGCAGACACGAGAAGGGCGGTGCTTTCTCCTGCCCCACCCTTTGCCCACCTTGTCATTCTCCAGAGCACTCATCACCACCCGGCACACACCGTGTATCTACCTGTTCCTTTCTTTCTGTCTCTCCCCCAACCAGTATGGAAGCTCACTGGGGCAGGAACTGTGTGTACACTGTTCACATCTGTATTCCCAGTGCCAAGAAGACATCTGAATGCTTTGAAGGTAGTCAGTAAGATCTGTTGGTGAATGAATGAATGAGGGTAATTATTTAGACAACCTCTACTTTTCTTCCATCTTCTGTCTCCCAAACACCCATAGTCTGTTCCTCCAATCTCAACTTGCTTATTCCTTAATTATTAAAAAGTAATGGGAAAATATTACACACCAAAAACGAGGTCCTAAGGGAGCATTCCAGGGCTTTGGCATACTGGTACCATCTAGTGGGAAAGAGCATATTTGCAGGTAGGTACTAAAATGAATTTGGAGGGTTGATAAAAAACAACCACCACAACTGTTTCCTTTATCATTAACTTTACTAAGCAAGTTTTCTGTAACTCATGATAGTGGCAACTGGAATCCTTCACAAAGTCATGTTCTACCCAGGGCATACACTGCCCGTCCAAGCACCTGCCATGCCTCTTCATTTTTCTGCTCAAGAACTTTTCCAAAATCATGGTTGCCCCCAGGGTCACAAAGGCTCAGTGGGAAGACAGGAATTTTGGCACCAGAGGCCACCCCTGACCGATGAAAGACAGACTCCTATCCAGCAGAGGGACCATTCTAAAGTGAGTTTTACACAGCTCTTCCAAGGGCCCCCAGCAGCAGTGGGCCTCAGTTGCCCAGGACAATAACCAGCTCAAAGATACGCTTTTTAATTGGCTTCCCTTCTTTTTTGTTTCACAGTTCTCACTTCTATGAACTGGAATTCTCTTTCATATCAGCTCCCGGCATCGAAGCCTGTGTCTCCATTACTATTTGGGGGAACTCAATCCAAGATATAGGGTCTAGCACCAATATACCTTTGGGTGATAAGAAAGCCTTAAGAATTAGTCAAGATAATTACTGTAAACACTTAAATATTGTATATTTTAGAGCTGGTCTAAGAATTGCTTTCCATAGTTGACTCCCAAAATCTTTACCTTGATCTAAGTTGAGAAGAATCAACAGTGATATGTGGTCCTAAAGAAGTACATTTCCAATGCAGACGAGAGAACAAAGAAAAAGGTCTGGTCTCTATCCCTGGGCTCTGCTCTGTTCCAATTTGACCAACTGGTGAGATGGCTAATGGTTTAGACTAGACAAGGGGTCAACAACCTACAGCCTGAGGGCCAAACCCAGCTCTGCCTGTTTTTGTAAATAAAGTTTTATTGGAATACAGGCCTGACCATCAGTTTACATATTGTCTGTTGCTGCGTTTATGCTGCATTGATAGTGTTCAGCAGTTGCAAGAAAGACCATATATTTACTCGATAGCCCTTTATAGGAGATTACCTGCCTGTGGTTTAAATCGTTGGTTGCCATAGTTTTAGATTCCCAAAAGCAAAATTTCAAGAACAGCTAAAAATAGAGACTGGACAAAGGTTTGCCAACAGCACCTTACCACTGAGGACAAAAATGCCCTCTGTGTATTAGCCAACTTCGTTCCACAAATCATAGGGCGTTTTAACCTGAAAAAGTAGAAAGGTCATAGCATCAGAATAATGAACTTCCCATCCCAAGAGAGAGTAGTGGGTGAGCTCAGAACAACTGCCTAGCCCATTTTATTTTTTTTTTCATAGCACTATCATTTTCCAAAATTTTCATATTTACTTAGATTTGTTTTTCATTCTCTTTCTCCCTCACAAGAACATAGACTCCACGAGGGCAGGCAATCTTGTCTTTCTTAATCACTGCTGCTTACCCAGTGTCAAGCACCGTGTTTAAGATACAGCCACTGATCAGTAAATATTTGTTAAATGAACGACTCAGTCAAGTGTGAACTGCCTAGACTGAGGCAGATATGAACATCCTGAGAGAGGCAGAAAGGCATGGCCGTTGTGTGGGCGGCGAGGACTGGGACAGAGCGGGAGTGTGAGGACCTGCGCAGGGGCTCTGTGAATGCCCCCTACTCTATCTCCAGGACGTGAAGCGGTGCCAGCCACATGACAGGTACTCAGCAAATGCTCAGTGAGTTAGTGGCTACCCTAAGTAAAGGCCCTTACACTGAATTAAGAGGAATAAGAAAACTCATCTGATAAAATGCAACTAAACTTCAATTTGGATTCCCAGGTAGCTCAGTGATAAAGAATCCGCCTGCCAATGTAAGAGATACAGGTTCAGTCCCTGGGTCAAGAAGATCCCCTGGAGGAGGAAATGGCAACCCACTCCAGTATTCTTGCCTGGAAAATCCCATAGATAGAAGAGCCTGGCAGGCTACAGTCCATGCGGTCACAAAGAGTCAGACATGACTGAGCGACTGAGCTAGGCACAAACTTCAGTTTAGATTCAGTCCAATTGCAACCCTATAGATCTGAGTGTCTCGATACAGCTACAGGCTGCATATTTCTCATTTGCCTATAGACTGAGAAAACAGTGTTGCAGACACTGGCACTCAGGAGGCACTGGCTTGGACAGTGAAGTCCTCGGCACTCCCTGAGAGGGATGCCGTCCAGCCTCAGGGCTCAGGGGCAGGCAGGAAACTGCCAGAGAACTAACCTGCACAGTGGAATTAGCCTGCAGGGAAGCCACACCTAGGCTGGGTCCTGGCATCTGTGTGGCGATCCTCACTGGGATGGCTGTTCTTGTTGGGGGAAGTTTAAGGTGTGGGTGAGTTGTTTGTCCCTGGTCAAAAGCAAGGGCTCAGCGATAAAGAATACAGATAACCCTGAGCTAAACCAGTTCTGAAGGTGTAACTGGTGATCCAGAGAGGAGGTGTGGGTCCCAGGCCTCCTTTTAGAGATCGGGGATTCAAAAATGAGGTTACTGCAGGCAGCCGTTTCGACCCTAGGAGGGTCAGAGAACAAAAGAGTGAAAGAAGAGAATTCTTACATCATTTGAGGGGACAAGGGAGCAAGTTTTTGTACATTAGGGAAATATGGAGGAAAATGGACATGCACAGAAATCAGAAAAGCATGGGTTCAACCCCTGGTCCCAGTTCTTAGTGGCTGTGTAGCCTTAGGCAGATGACTTGACCACTCTGAACTTCTTTTCGTCATATATAAAATGAAGACAAGAATACTTGCCCCTAAGAGTTGCAATAAGAATTTGAGGTAATGTATGTAACTGGTACTTAGCAGTAAGTTATACAGCAAGTTTATTACCGTTATTTTGATTTATTTTAAATAATATGCTCATGGTGTTGACAAGCATACCCACATACACACTGTCCTGATAAAGCCTCCTGGGAACAGCTGCTGGGAAGAAACATCTGGAAGATATGATCCCACCAGATCAAATGATTTTATGAGGCATAAAATCCCCAGGAGAATGATCCTTGGGGAGCCACAGTATGAGAACTGGCAAATCCTTCTCTGGGGAGCAAACTTAATTTTTTATTTTTCAATGTCTGTACAGTTTTAAGTACATGAGTATTTTTCCCCTGTAAGTTAGTCAGATACTCAAGACCAAGGCCCCCTGGTACCTTCAAACCATAAAGTGCCTTGCAGCACCATGTGTTAAAGTTAAAGCAACCAGCATTCCTTAAGCTCCCAGCATTAGCAATTATGGGATGAAGCCATGAGCATACATTTATTTAATGCTCACCAGCACCCTGCTAGGCAGGTATTGGTATTCTCCATTCTTGTTTAGACACAGGAGGAAACAGAAGAAGAGGAGGGAGAAAGGGGTAATTGATCAGAGGCCACACAGCACGCAAAAGGCTGGGTCAGAATTCAGATTGGATTCTCAAAGCTTCAGAAGTCTCCCTGATGCTCCTAAACGAAGACACCAGCTCCTCTGGGTCCCAGGAGACCAGAGACCCTAGTTCACCTCCAGAACTTCCCCTACTGAGGACCAGGACTGTGTAATAGCACTCGTCTCTGCATCCCCAAATTAGCAGAATTCTTGGCATTTGCCAGAAATGAAAAAGTATGGGGAGAGAAGAAAATATGGGAGGGAAGGAGGAAAGCTGGAAGGAAAGGAGAGAGGGTAGTTGGCTCTTCAATGCCAGTTTAGCTCCCATTGTTTCCGGTTGTAATAATTACCAAATTCGTATTATTTCAGCTATTTATTACTTTTTTCTTGTTGGCAGCCCTTGGAAGACCACAAGACCCACAATAACAGGGTTCTTATCCATCTTGTTTACCTATGAACTCCCCAAATGCTTCCGTAAATACTTAGCACGTGGACGACTGTACATCGCTCACCTTCTGAGGATAATGTACCTGTGCTGCTTTTCTTTTGAGACAGCAGTTGTTATACTTTTACAAGGACACCACTGCCCGGCACCCAGCTGAAGATTCTGCTACTACACCAAGAAACGTAAGCATTGCTAAGGCTATATCCTATTCTGAAATGAAGGTCTCTTAGCATTCGAAATGTGATTGCTGAAAGTAGTAGATCATTATTTGCTTCATGTAGGAAATATTTCTAGTGCTGCGGATTAAATGTTCAAGAAACGATTAAAGGGCTTGGCAATGTTTCTCTCAAATATCTTTTGCATGAAAAGCCTCAAAGATTGGTTAATTACAGAGGCTACACATCAGTCACTCTAGGCAAGGGCACTGCCAGGCTCCGTGGTGCCCATCCCTGCTGCAAGCACGGACTGGTCTGCAGGCATTAGCATCACCAGGGGCTGATGCATCGCCTAAGGAGCATTGCTGCAGCCTGGCTCACATCCCCATGGAGATGGCCCTCAGACCCCGTTTATGATGTCAAACACCTGGGTTCCTTGTTTGGGGCAAATGGTTCCAGCTCTCTGCCAAGAGGAGGAGTGAGAACTCAAGCTTGCATCTTTAACCCCTCCCTAGCCTTTGTCCTGCCGTCTCAAATCCAGATGCCAAGCCCTGGCAAATTCTCCCCTAAATGTCTTTTGGATGCTCTGAGGAGGTTGTGTCTACTTCTCCCATCTGCAGTGTCACTCCCTGGGTCTAGAGTGACAAGAGTCCCTGGATTCTTCTCATGATTGCAGGCCTACACTGGCTTCTCCTCCAATTCATATCCAGTTCCATCCTCCAACTACACTGCAGCCAAATTACTTTTTCAAAACAGAAACCTGGCCTTGTCATGCTGGACCCTCCCCACATTGCTTTCAATGACTTTCCCATTGCTCCAGGACAAACACCCAAATCCTTGAGATGGCTGATGAGGCCCTGGTGGGTCTGGCACCCCCAGCTGCTCCCCACGCCACTCTCTGGGCTGCGGGGTCTCCTCCTGCACGGAGCTCCCCGACCACCCACACCCTGGCGTTCCTCTGTCCATAAGCCTCACTGCTCCTCCAGACTCTGGCCCAAGCAGCAGGCTATCAGGGAAGCCTCCCAGACTCTCCATCTAGGTCTGATGCCTTTCCCATATTCACTCATTCATCTATGTTTACTGAGGGCCTACTATCTGCCAGGCTCTGTTCTAGGCCCTGGGAACACAACAGTGATTCAATCAGATGACAGCACGTGCTATGACGGAGCCTGTATTTTAGTAGAGGGGGAAGATGAGCCACCGTCACGCGAAACATATAGACTGGCAGGATCTGACACAACCATGTTTCCTTCCCTCTAGCAGTTGTCTCTGTTTTGAATCATTAATGATTCCTGCCAGGGAATATCTTGGGGTCTGAGGCCCAAGAGAGCAGAGACTGAATCAGCCTTACTAACAGATGGTCCTTGAGCATAGTAGGGCCTGCCTGAATATCACAGGTATTTACCAAATCCACCTGGTCCCAGGTGAACGTCCCTGAGGTCAAGTTGCTCGAGTGCTTGGGGCTTAGGAGGGATGATTCTTCATATATACCTTTAATGTCTCCCTCTCTGCAGACTCTCTGGCTGTAATTTTGAGCCAGAGCAGGAGTCAGCAAACTTCTTCTGCAAAGGGCCAAATAGTAAATATTTTAGTCTTTGTGGGCCATATGGTGTAACAACTCTGTTGTTACAGCACAAGCCCAGCCACAGACAATTATATAAATGAATGGGCTTGGCTACGTTCCAATGAAACTATTTATAAAAACAGGCTGCAGGCAGGAATCGGCCCAGAGGCCCGTAGAGTGCAGCCCCTGAGTTAGATGATCCCAGGTGCCCAGCAGCCTACAGCAGTGAGAGGCCGTGCCTGTGTGGTCTAAGTCAGACGTGGGTTCCACGGGTGGGGTCCTGCAACTCTCCGCAGACCCTACATCGATCGACAGGGTGATTATCTCAGCAGCTCCAGCTTCAGGCATTCACAGGCACCATCTTCCGCGGCACATGGAAAAGCAGTTCCCTGCCAACCCCCAGGAAGGAGACTTCGGCCTGCAGGCCGTGTTAGGCAGGAGAGGAGGCCGCCACGCTCCTTGCGGGGTCCCCAGGCTCCCCCAGAGGCTGAGCTCACTTCCTGGCCCTGCCCAGGCATGTGCAGGGCTGTGCTCAGCTCAGCAGCTGCTGCCTCCACCCCAGCCCGGCCCGAGCTCGGCTGGGAGACACAGGGGCTTTGTGCTTCTGTAGCAGACGGGGTGTCCCTCGCTGGGGCCCTTTGAAATGAGACGTGACATGTTAAAACGTGCCTAATGCTAAGGCTAATTTCCAGGAATTTGACTTCTGCTGGCAACTGACAGAAGGAAAACAATCCCCTTTATTTATTTATTTTATTTTTGGTATATGTATGTAGTTATATTTATCCTGATCTTTGGGGTCTGCAGCTACTGAAAACAATACTTATCTGAGGCTCACCTGCTGGTGTGGGATGAGTGGACAGATTAGTCTAGTATTTATGGAGCCAGAGAACATTAATTGTAGCATTAGCACCGCATGAAGACTGTGGTGGGTGTTAACTGCTAAAAACAGTTATAAATCGAAACACGTATATTATCTAGGGTGAAACAGATCACCAGCCCAGGCTGGATGCATGAGACAAGTGCTTGGGCCTGGTGCACTGGGAAGACCCAGAGGAATTGGGTGGAGAGGGAGGTGGGAGGGGGGATCGGGATGGGGAATACATGTAAATCCATGGCTGATTCATGTCAATGTATGACAAAAACCACTACAATATTGTAAAGTAATTAGCCTCCAACTAATAAAAATAAATGGAGAAAAAAAAAGAAAACAGCATCTGACAACATAAAAAAAAACAAAAAACACCACGGAAACTGCAGCTGGCACTAGAGGTGACAATGTCCCGCGTATAAAAGCACTCTAGACAACAGAGCTACGGAGCCAACATTACCCTGAGGTTATAAACGCTCTACATGTTGGCTCTGTGCTCCCAGAGTCCCCTGCAGGACTGAGGACCATAGGGTGTTGCGATGATCTGATGATGTACTTGCTGTGGGTGAGCAACACTTCGGGAATGGTGACGCCCAGCGAGCCACTGGGCTTCCAGGGCAGGGATGTCCTCGGCGTAACCCTCTGTACAGTGCACTGGGGCCTGCATTCTGTCCAGTGGTCCCAGAGCCCCTTGGCTGCTGACACATAACATTGTTTACGATGCACCAGCACTCAGGTTGACTCAGACCTGCAGCGTGTCACTTCTCTGGGGGTAAGGATCCCACAGGAAACAGTGACCTGGGTGTTACGATGCTCCGGGTTAGCCCTAGTCACCTAACCGCTTTTGGTGGTGATAGCGTTCTCAGAGGTCATGTTCTTACAAAGTTCACATCCAGGTAGTTCGAACAGAGTGATGGAAAAGGGGCTAGTCCCTTCCTTTTCAAATGGCCTATCACT